TATTTATTATGAGGTACATATGTTATTAAATGCACATTTTTTTTTCTGTGATGGAGTCTCGCTCTGTCCCCTAGGCTGGATGGATTGTAGTGGCTGTTATCTTTGCTCACTGCAACCTCTGCTTCCTGGGTTCAAGTGATTCTCCCACCTCAGCCTCCTGAGTCGCTGGGACTGCAGGTAACTTCCATCATGCCTGGCTATTTTTTTTATGTTTAGGACAGACGGGTTTCACCATGTTGGCCAGGCTGGTCTCGAACGTCTGACCTCAGGTGATCTGCCCAACTTGGCCTCCCAAAGTGCTGGGATTACAGTCGTGAGCCACGGTGCCTGGCCTAAATGTAAATCATTTTATCATAGTGCTTGTCATATAGAAAATGCCCAATAAGTGTTTTTCATTATTATTATTTAAAAGTTTTTATCAGAAGATAGGTGGAAGTCTGGAAAAACAACTGCTGATTTTTTAGGAAAGACAATGAGTGTGTTTTTGGCAGATTGAGTTTAATGTGCTGTTAAAATATTCTGTGATGCTCTCCAGCAATTTGTTTTAAATGTATAATGGTTTCTTTTCTTTCTTTATTTTCTTTTCTTCTTCTTCTTCTTCTTCTCCTTTTTTTTTTTTTTTTTTTTTTTTTTTTGAGACAGAGTTTTGCTCTTGTTGCCCAGGCTGGAGTACAATAGTGCAATCTCCTCTCACTGCAACCTCTGTCTTTTGGGTTTAGGTGATTCTCCTGCCTCAGCCTCCTGAGTAACTGGGATTATAGGCATGCACTGCCACACCTGGCTAATTTTGTATTTTTAGTAGAGACGGAGTTTCACCATGTTGGTCAGACTGGTCTTGAACTCCTGACTTCAGGTGATCCACCTGCCTCGACTTCCCAAACTGCTGGGATCACAGGTGAGCCACTGCTCCTGGTGTACAATGGTTTCTTAAGATAGTAATTGAGTTATAGAGAAAGAGATTGAGAAGAAGGCTACAAAGGTGAAAGCTGCAACTAAAAGATAAATGAGAGCATCTTGGGAGAGTATAGAAAGAGAAAAGGACAGCAGGCCTGAACCTTAGAGACAATCCACATTATGGAGCCAAAGGAGAAGCTAGCAAAGCCAGTAGAGGAGAATTCAGAAAAACAGAACTAGATACCTTCACAAATGATAGAAGATGCCACTTGGGCACTTTTTAATTTAATTTTAATTTTTGGGGGACAGAGTCTAGGTCTGTTCCCCAGACTGGAATGCAGTGGCACAATCTTGGCACACTGCAGCCTCGACCTCCTGGACTCAAGTAATCCTCCCACATTGGCCTACAGAGCACCTGGGACTACAGGTGTGCACCACCAAGCCTAATTTAATTTTTTTTTTTTTGGTAGAGATAGGGTATTGCCATGTGGCCCAGGCTGGTCTTAAACTCCTGGCTTCAAGCCATCCTCCTGCCTTGGCCTCTCAAAGTGCTGGGATTAGAGGCGTCAGCCACTACACCCAGCCAAGACATCTTTTAGAAAAGATAGTGTGAATCAATACTTTAAAATACTTCTGCAGAGAAATCAAGAACGTTTAGGCTGAGAAGTCTGTTCCTGTTTGTCAAATTACTTCTTTATGGCAAAGATTCAGTTTTATCAATGTTTACATTTATACTCCCAGAATAGTGACTGGCTTATAGTAGGTGGTCAGTGCATATTTGTTTAGTGAATGAATTAAAAAGGACATTAGAAAGAAGAATTTCCATGGACTTTTTGTGACAGAAATCAGATTGAAAAAGGTAAAGGGCAAATGGATGATGAGAAGCTGGGAGGTGCTGATTGAGAAAATGGTAATAATAAGGGTAGGAAAATTAGGATGGTAAGTGAAGGAAGTCATAGGGTAAAGAATGGGCCATTTTTTTTTTTTAAAAAAAAAGGTAAGGATAATGAAGGAACCTGTGGATGTTTTTATGTAGAGGAAAGAGAGATTTAAGATGCTCCAAGAAAAAGAGTGAATGATGGAACAAGGATAGATAGAAAAATAGGATGGGAAGAAGAGAATATGAGTGGGAGTGGAACACCTCATCCCCCTGAAAGGGAGGAAAAGAAGATGGATGACAATACAGTAATATTGTGATTTGGTCATAAAGACACATGCACATGTATGTTCATTGCAATACTATTCAAATGGAATCAATTTAAATGCCCATCAGTGATAGACTGCATAAAGAAAAAATGGTACATATACACCATGGAATACTATGCAGCCATAAAAAGAATGAGACCATGTCCTTTGCAGCAACATGGGTGCAGCTGGGGGCCATTATTCTTAGCAAACAAATGCAGGAGCAGAAAACAAAATACGGCATGTTTTCCCTTGTAAATGAGAGCTAAGTAATGAGAACACACGGACACACAGAGGGGAGCAACACACACTGGGGCCTACCAGAGGGTGGAGGGTGGGAGGAGGGAGAAGATCAGGAGAAATAACTAATGGGTATTAGGCTTAATACCTGTGAGATGAAACAATCTGTAAAACAAACCCCCATGACACGCATTCACCTGTGTAACAAACCAGCACTTGTATTCCTGAATTTAAAATAAAAGTTAAAAAAATTTTAAAAATTGTGATTTAGGATAGGAGGGGTGAGGCTAATGCCACAAAGGGAAAAAAGGAGATAGAAAGGAGGGGACATGGGACAGCACACTTCAGGTAGTCTGAGTCTTCTCTGTTTGGAGAGGATGAGAGGGTTGCTGTGGGTGGAGCTGGGGAATTGAACAGGAAAGATTGGGAACAGCTCTATAAAATGTTCTTTCTTTGATCTGCGGGGAGGAGGTGTTGGCCAATTGAAGCTATTTGCATTCTGAAATTATTTCTGAAGAATATTTTGTATTCTTTTTCTTTTTTCTTTTTTTTGAGACAGGGTCTCATTCTGTCACCCAGGGTTGTGTGCAGTGGCGCAATCTTAGCTTACTGGAACCTCTGCCTTCCAGGTTCAAGTGATTCTCATGTTTCAGCCTCTGGAATAGCTGTGATTACAGGCATGCACCACCACACCTGGCTAATTTTTGTATTTTTAGTAGAGACTGGGTTTCACCATGTTGGCCAGGCTTATCTCGAACTCCTGGCCTCAAGTGATTCACTGCCTCTGCCTTCCAAAGTGCTGGGATTACAGGTGTGAGCCACCGTGGCTGGCCTATTTTGTATACTTTTGATAAGTTTAAGTCATTAATACTTAAAGTTGGAGGAAGTGTAGATAAGTCTTTTAAGAACCAAAGAGCACTTTAAAAAAAAAAAGTGGTTTACAATGTTTAGTTCTAAGACTGTTCCTCATCAGTAGTCATTTTGGCACAGATTATTTTATTTCACTATACTTTCTCAACTCTAAGGCAGTAAAATTTGAAATCTAGGAAAAGAGATGAATTAGTGTTTTCAGGACAATAATTCAAATGCATAATTTACTGTTTGTTTTGTTTTTGAGGCAGAGTCTCTCACTCTGTTGCCCAGGCTGGAGTTCAGTGGCATGATCTCGGCTCACCACAACCTCCGTCTCCTGGGTTCAAGCGATTCTTCTGCCTCAGTTTCCCAAGTAGCTGGGACTACGGGCATGCATCAACATGTCCGGCTAATTTTTTTTTTTATCTTTGGTAGAGACGGGGTTTCACTATGTTGGCCAGGCTGGTCTCAAACGCCTGACCTTGTGATATTCCCGCCTTGGCCTCCCAAAGTGCTGTGATTACAGGCATGGGCCACTGCGCCCAGCCTAAATTACTGTTTTATAGACACATACCTTGCAAATGTCAGTATCACATTTGTAGCCCTGTGGATTCCAGGTTTTGATTTTAATCAGACTTTGTTAAATAGTTAACATTTCTTAGTTTTTTCATTTTTGGTGGTTTTTTTTCTCATTTTTTTCTTTGGAAGAGTAGAAATTACTGTGTATCCACATGAGAACAACTGGACGGTATCTGACCCAAAAGTTTCAACTTGATTTGGGTAAGTTTCCTTAGAGTGTTGAGATTCTTCTGAGAAGAAGCTAAGCTGATTTCAGCAATAGAACACTACTATAACTAAGAAACTGCACAACTGAGTCTCCAGTTTTTACTAGCATATAAATAAATGGCTTCTAAAAATGTACACACTCATCCCACCCAACTAATACAATCTTGTAATCAAGAAGGACGTATCTGTCAGGGGCCAGGGTCATGGGGGGCTGGGGTGCCGAGCCAGAATACTCTGAAGTATTCTAGCATGAAGATATAGAAACATCCTCAGAAACATCTAGCAGAAGCTAGAAGAGGTTGTTTAGAATTTCCATATTAGGGATCCCAGCACTTTGGGAGGCTGAGGTGGGCAGATCACGAGGTCAGGAGTTCAAGACCAGCCTGTCCAATATGGTGAAATGCCATCTCTACTAAAAAATACAAAATTTAGTCTGGCATAGTGGCACAGACCTGTAGTCCCAGCTACTCGGGAGGCTGAGGCAGGAGAATTGCTTGAACCCGGGAGGCGGAGGTTGCAGTGAGTCGAGATCATGCCACTATGCTCCAGCCAGGGCAACAGAATGAGACTCCATTAAAAAAAAAAAAAAAAGAAGAATTTCCATACTATCCTATTTCAGCAGTTGTAGTAGTGACATAAGAAATATTACCTGGCATTGAAGTTTCTTCAGGAAGTATAATGGGAGGTTAAATGGCTTTAACACCTAGATTTTATCCACAGGATCCCTTTCCTTTTGCTTCAGTGGAGCAATTTTTGTGAGTCCTGCCATTTTAGGTCCGAATCGAAATTAACATTTGGTGCTTTCTTCAATTCTGACATAGCTTGTAGCTTTTGTCTTGGCCAATTTATATAAAAGCTGATTTTTTTCCTGCAGTTTCTTGTTACTTTTTTCCTCTCATTCTGCTCTTGGGCAATAAAAGTATTCTTTAAAACTTCAATGTGTGATCTAAAATCCGAATTTCAACTGCTGAGAGTTTCAGGGTTTTTGCTTTTTGTTTTTGTGAGGCAGATATTTTGATTTTTCTTTCTTTCTTTCTTTGCAGGTTTGAAGGTAAGAATGTTTTGATTTTTAAGAATTTATTCGGCAGTGGTGGCTAGGGCGGTAGTGGCAGCAGTCGGGGCTTGCAGCAGGCCTCAGGGCTAGGAGCACGGCACGGCCTAGAGCAACAGACAGCACAGTGGCCAAGAAGGAGGCGCAGCAGCCACCCTGACCCATCATGGAGATGGAAAAGGAGTTCGAGCAGATTGACAAGTCCAGGAGCTGGGAGGCCATTTACCAGGATATCGAACACAAAACCAGTGACTTCCCGTGTAGAGTGGCTGAGCTTCCTAAGAACAAAAACCGAAATAGGTATAGAGATGTCAGTCCCTTTGACCATAGTCGGATTAAACTACATCAAGAAGATAACGACTATATCAATGCCAGTTTGATAAAAATGGAAGAAGCCCAAAGGAGTTACATTCTTACCCAGGGCCCTTTGCCTAACACGTGCGGGCACTTTTGGGAGATGGTGTGGGAGCAGAAGAGCAGGGGTGTCGTCATGCTCAGCAGAGTGATGGAGAAAGGCTCGTTAAAATGCGCACAGTACTGGCCACAAAAAGAAGAAAAAGAAATGATCTTTGAAGACACAAATTTGAAAATAACATTGATCTCTGAAGATAACAAGTCATATTATACAATTGGACAGCTAGAACTGGAAAACCTTACAACCCAAGAAACTCGAGAGATCTTACATTTCCACTATACCACATGGCCTGACTTTGGAGTCCCGGAATCGCCAGCCTCATTCTTGAACTTTCTTTTCAAAGTCCGAGAGTCGGGGTCACTCAGTCTGGAGCACGGCCCTGTGGTGGTGCACTGCAGTGCGGGCATTGGCAGGTCTGGGACCTTCTGTCTGGCTGATACCTGCCTCATGCTGATGGACAAAAGGAAAGACCCTTCATCCGTTGATATCAAGAAAGTACTGTTAGAAATGAGGAAGTTTCGGATGGGGCTGATCCAGACAGCAGACCAGCTGCGCTTCTCCTACCTGGCTGTGATCGAAGGTGCCAAATTCATCATGGGAGACTCTTCCATGCAGGATCAGTGGAAGGAGCTTTCCCACGAGGACCTGGAGCCCCTACCAGAGCACGTCCCCCGTTCTCCCTGGCCACCGAAAAGAATCCTGGAGCCACACAGTGGGAAATGCAGGGAGTTCTTCCCAAACCACCAGTGGGTGAAGGATGAGACTGGGGAGGATAAAGACTACCAGGTCAAGGAAGAAACAGAAAGCCCCTTAAATGCCGCATCCTACAGCATGGAAAGCATAAGTCAAGAAACTGAAGTAAGAAGTCGGGTCATGGGGGGAAGTCTTCGAGATGCCCAGGCTGCCTCCCCAGCCAAAGGGGAGCCGTCATCATCCGAGAAGGAGGAGGACCATGCACTGACTCACTGGAAGCCCTTCCTGGTCAACATGTGTGTGGCTGTGATCCTCACGGTTGGTGCATACCTGTGCTACAGGTTCCTGTTCAACAGCAACACATAACTTGACCCTCTTCCACTCCACCTCTACCCACTGTCCACCTCTGCCCGCAGAGCCCACGCCCGACTAGCAGGGATGCTGCAGTAGGTAAGGGTGTAGAGAGCCGGGCCCTGGATGGACGTTAGTTCTGCAGTAAAACCCATCTTCCCCGGATGTGTGTCTCACCCCTCATCCTTTTACTTTTTGCCCCTTCCCCTTTGAGTACCAAATCCATAAGCCATTTTTTTGAGGAGAGTGAAGGAGAGTACCATGCTGGTGGTGCAAAGGGAAGGGGTCTGCCCCTGTCCCAGGGCTCCCCCGACCCCAGAGCTCCCTTGTGGAGCAGCCCAGTGGGCAGCACACCAACATCCCCCCTCAAATCTGTAGGGAGCAACTCTCCACTCCATATATATTTAAACATATTTTCCCCCAAAGGCCTCCATAGTGCACTAGCATTTTCTTGAACCAATAATATACTAAAATGTTTTTGATGTCAGCTTTGCATCAAGAGCTTTACCAAAAAGTACAATAATAAATCCTCAGGTAGTACTGGGAATGGAAGACTTTGCCATCAGCCTGCTGTGTCAGACCAGTACTGGAAAGGAGGACGGCTGTGAGCAGTCGTTACTTAGTGATATTGTGGGTAACGTGAGAAGATAGAACAATGCTTTAATATATAATGAACACGTGGGTATTTAATAAGAAACATGATGTGAGATGACTTTGTCTGGCTTATTCTCCTCCCTGCTAGCTCCCTGTTACCTGCTAGCTCTAGTTCTCGATCACCACTCCCCCATGTGTATTAGAATGCATGTACGGTCTTCTTGTGTCCTGATGAAAAATTATGTGCTTGAAATGAGAAACTTGGATCTCTGCTTACTCATGTGCCCATGTCCAAGTCCACTCTGCCTGTGCATGACCTGATCATTACATGGCTGTGGTTCCTAAGCCTGTTGCTGAAGTCATTGTCGCTCAGCAATAGGGTGCAGTTTTCCAGGAATAGGCATTTGCTAGATTCCTGGCATGACACTCTAGTGACTTCCTGGTGAGGCCCGGCCTGTCCTGGTACAGCAGGGTCTCGCTGTAACTCAGACATTCCAAGGGTATGGAAGCCATATTCATGCCTCATGCTCTGGACATGATTGAGGCGAGCAGAGACCCCTCCACCTTTGGGATCAGCCTCCACTATTCCAAGTCAGCACTCTTCTTGAACAGACCATGGTTTGGAAGAGAAGCAACTGCTGGAAACCACACTTCTTAAACAGCCCTGATGACGGTCCTGTAGGCAGCCTGCCACCATCTCCGTCCTGGTTCATCTTGCCGACAGAGGCGCGTCTGCCCCACCCTCGAACCCTATGGGGCCCACTAGTGCTCACAACTCTTCCTGCAAAGGGAACTTAAGACCTCCATGTTAAGTGGCTTTTTAACAAGAAAAACACGGCAGCTGTGGCTCCTGAGCTACTGTCTTGCCAGCATTTTCACATTTTGCCTTTCTTGTGGTAGAAGCCAGTACAGAAAGATTCTGTGGTGATAACATTCGAGGCATCGCCCCACAGAGATGTGGTGAGATATGGATAAGGCTCAGGTGCCAGTCTGTAAGCATTCTGAGCTGGGCTTGTTGTTTTTAAGTCCTGTATATGTATGTAGTAGTTTGGATGTGTATATATAGTAGCATTTCAAAATGGACGTACTGTTTAACCGCCTATCCTGGAGAGCAGCTGGGGCTCTTCACCTTATTATGCATATGTTAGAGAGGTAGTGAGCTGTTCTGCTATTTGCCTTAAGCCAATATTTACTCATCAGGTCATTATTTTCTACAGTGGCTGTGGAATCAACCAGTTTTACAAAAATAACAACAACAACAACAACAACAAAGAATTTATTCATCAACTGATCAAGCTTATTGTGAATTTGAAATTACTTTTTAAGATGTTTGTCTTTTGTGTTCAATGCCTTTAGGATGGACACTATTATTATGACCTTTTGGGTATAAGTAGGTTAGGCTCAGATTTTCCACATTTTACACCTTCATGTAAAAAGACACAACTTTAACTTTAAAGCACATAAATATAAAGTCTGTATTCCAATAATTATTTCCTAACTTCAATAAATTTTATAAATGATCAAGTTTTCTTCTTCATTTTGGCCAGTAGATAGCTTCAGATCAAATTAGAGGCCCACTTTCAGTAATTTCATACAACCATAGCCATGCATTTCTAGTCACTAATCTTTCTCTGATTTTATTATTTTTCATTTACGTTGTTTCTTTAAACTATTTATTTTTTCTTGTTTTATACATGTTTATAACCTCAAGTACTTTGTTGGAGGAGGTAGCTGACAAGTAAATATATACAAGTGGTGCCTATGGCAAGGATTCCTTGCAACCTTCTGTTTTCTGAAGGACACTTTAGGAAATTTGTTATTGCCTCCAATGACCAGTACTTCTAAGGATACAAATGTTTTCCTAGACACTTCCTAAGAGGTTTCTGTACCACCCTCTTACCTTTACAAGTGCAAACATCTCTGCGGAGGAGTCACGCTGCATCTACCTGAGGAAGCTTTACAGCCACCTCAACTTTGTTATTTTACTCCTGAGGGTCAATAGTCTTGGAGAGTGGTCCTTTGAAACTGGACCATGTCTGAAGAACTGAGGGCCATGCCATCTTACACTTATGGACACTGTTTCCAACTGCTGCAAGTATTGCAGTATTCAGAGCTAACTTGCTGTCAACTCTCTGACGATGCTACAAGTTCTGTTTTGTTTTGTTTTTTTTTTTTTTTTGAAGCATAAATGGTTACTTTAAGATAATGAGAGGTTAAGTGATTCTGCTATGACTTTTTTTTTAATAGACACACGGTTTCACTGTGTTGGTCAGGCTGGTCTTGAACTCCTGACCTTGTGATCCAGCCGCCTCGGCTACCCAAGTGCTGGGATTACAGGTGTGAGCCACCGCACCTGACTTTTTTTTTTTTTTTTTTTAAAGATGGGGTCTCACTCTGTTGACAGGCTGGAGTGCAGTGGCACGATCTTGGCTCACTGCAACCTCCGCCTTCCGAGTTCAAGTGATTCTCCTGCCTCAGCCTCCTGAGTGGCTGGGATTACAGGCGTGCACCACCATGCTCGGCGAACTTTTGTATTTTTAGTACAGACGGGGTTTCTCCATGTTGGCTAGGCTGGTCTCATACTCCTGACTTCATGATCCCCTGCTTTGGCATCCCAAAGTGCTTGGATTGAGATGGAGGGCTCATGAAGGAAAATTTCCTGACTGCCCAAAATTAGCTACCTCAACTGCTTCTATCCACTTCTATACATCTGCTTCCTGCTGACTAGCTGAAAGGCCTCCTGAAAACTGCTATGCTGCCCAGCACCTCAAGATGTGTCCCTAGCCTCTAATGTATAAAAGCTGTGTGCTGGCTCAAGTCAGGGTTCAAACTTTTGGGTGCTAGCCCTTCTGGGCCCGCTGGCGTAATAAAGTGTGTTCCTCCGATCCTCTGAATGCTGCTTGGGTTTCTCACCGGGTAAGATTTTCCGGAATAGGATTACAGGCATGAGCCACCTGCTCCCGGCCTTCTGCTAAGACATTTTAAGAATGAACTTTGAACAGCAAACTCTTTAAGAATGGTAATTACTCTTTGAGAAGCTGCACTCCATGGCCTTGAGTCAACAAAAACAGCATTAATATCATCATCCAGAGCCAGAACAGGGGTTGGTGTGTCTGAAATGCCCTGTAGAATTTTGGGGCCAGGTGCCACATGTGTTCTGTTGCCTCATTTGGTCATGTTTTATGCAGGATTAACATTGGTAACTGTCCTTTGGTTTAGAAGACATTCAGCAATGCTGTTCTACCATCTAGGACCTTTTTTTGTTTTAACATCTAGGACCATTTTTTTTTTTGACACTAAATATGCAAAAGAATCCAGTTGGCCGGGCGCAGTGGCTCAAGCCTGTACTCCCAGCACTTTGGGAGGCCGAGGCGGGTGGATCACGAGGTCAACAGATCGAGACCATCCTGGTCAACATGGTGAAACCCCGTCTTTACTAAAAATACAAAAAATTAGCTGGGCATGGTGGCGCGTGCCTGTAATCCCAGCTACTCAGGAGGTTGAGGCAGGAGAATTGCCTGAACCCAGGAGGCGGAGGTTGCAGTGAGCCGAGATCGTGCCATTGCACTCCAGCCTGGGTAACAAGAGCGAAACTCCGTCCCAAAAAAAAAAAAAAAAAAAAAAAAAATCCAGTCAAGAGGTTTATCATGCCCTCCATATGCAAGGTGATTCTGCAGCATGTTATCTGAGAAATCATCAGTCAATATTGAGCCTGATGGTGTAACTTGGAGTTGTAAGCACTGAGAGCTGTTGATTAGGATTTTGATACTTAGATTTCTGAACTCAAGGTAGAAATGTTCTTTTCAAGTTTTTGACAATTTTACCCAGTATACTGATCTCAGGTGAACTTAGTAAGGTGAGAGATGTTGAAGTGGCATATATTTGGGATCCATAAATGGTCAGGCGCATTTTATAAGTCTGCCCAGCATTCAAAAAATAAATTTCAAGGTTAAATGGAATCTCTTGGTACACTTGACCTCGAGCATGCAAAGAAACAACAGTAGCAGCAGAGTGCCTTCCCCATACCTACCCCCCGTATTATTAAAAACATTGCCTTGCTTATTGGAAGAGTAAAATTTAGTAGGCCCTAAAGGGCACAAGCTGAAACTTTTAATTAAGCCAGCAATCTACATTTCAGATGGTAAGGCCCAAGTGGAGGAGTAGGCTGATGGGGCAACAAGTGATTGACCCAGCCTAGGTTAAGAGTGGGTACTGGGGCCAGGCACGGTGGCTCACGCATGTAGTTCCAGCAGTTTGGGAGGCCGAGACCAGCCTGGCCAATATGATGAAATCCTGTCTCTACTAAAAATACAAAAACTAGCTGGGTGTGGTGACACGTGCCTGTAGTCCCAGCTACTCAGAAGGCTGAGGCAGGAGAATCACTTGAACCCAGGAGGTGGAAGTTGCGGTGAGCCAAGATCACACCACTGACTCCAGCCTAGGCGACAGAGTGAGACTCTGTCTCAAGAAAAAAAAAGAGTGGGTGCTGGGTGTCAGCAGAGTCTGAACTTTCTGTCAGGAACAAGGTGGGCTTTAGAATAGTCTATCTTGTTTTAGGCTATGTTTAGGCCGTGCTTCTGATCATTCTTGTTTCTCTCTCTCTCTCTCTCTGTGTGTGTGTGTGTGTGTGTGTGTGGTGTGTGACAGAGTTTTGTTTTGCCATCCAGGGTGGAGTGCGGTGGTGCAATCTTGGCTCAGTGCAACCTCCATCTCCTGAGCTCAAGCCGTCCTCTTGCCCCAGCCTCTTGAGTAGCTGGGACTATAAGTGCACTTCACCACGCCTGGCTAGTTTTAGTATTTTTGATAGAGCAGGGTTTCATCATGTTTCCCAGACTGGTCTCAAACTCCTGAGCTCAGGTGATTCGCCTGCCTCAGTCTCCCAAAGTTCTGGGATTACAGGTGTGAGCCAGTGTGCCAGGCCTCTTGTTCTTCACCTTTAACAATTTTACTGACGTCCTGTGTGCCTAACACTTTCATCTCTGGAAAACCACAACTCTATATCTTAATAACCATTTTAAAACCCAGCATAATCCAACAAGATCACACAGACACTCCCACCTACATTTCTTTCCCTGAGTGTTTCACTTCTCTGCTTTATCCTTGACCACTGCTAAACTCAGATATACCTAGTCACTGTTACTCAGAAGGAAGGGTCTGGGTCCTAAACACTCTATGAACACATGTTTAAAGTTTAAAAAGTACATAATTCTCTGTGCTATGACATTCTGTTGCTAGGAGAGATCTCCAAAATATTTAACAACCAGAATGCAACCAGCACCAACAGTCAAAGGTGACTTTGCAAGCCCTAAAACTTGTAAGGCTATAACTGCATATCAGCTGAATCTCAGCACTAGATAAAACATTTCTGTCAGATGAATACTAAAGCACTTTATTAATACAAACATAAGGTCAGTCTTTTATTCTTTCATTTGTTCAGTAAATCTTTATTGCAAACCTACTATATCCCATACCCTATATGTAGTACTGTTTATGTAAGGCCTATGACCTAAAGGAATTCAAACTCTAGTCCTAGAATTATAAGATATTTGGAAACTACCTTCAATATTCTCCTAAATCTAGAAAGATAAATACTCTGGGCTGATGGAAAACTCTCATCTTAATAGTTTTGACAATCTAAAAATGATAAGCACTGGGTTTTCCTTTGTACAAGATCATTAGAAGATGGATTTGAATTTTTTTTTTTTTTTTTTTTTTTTTTTTTGCAATTCTGTAGCACCAAAGAGATGGACAAGGAGAACTCAGTTAACTAAACCCTTAAGAATAATGTCTAGGAAGGAGATAAAATATTATCTGCATTACCGCAAGGAAAAGAAATTTTCATATTACCTTTGGATTTTAGTACATTTCTAAAAGAGCATTTATTTCAAAGAGGATTATTCTAAAATTCTTTGGTAGTTGGTGAGCAGCTGAAACTACGGACAGTAGAGGAGAAAGAAAGTAGAACAGATATTCAAGGTGAGCACTGAGGAGGTTTGCATGCTTAATGATCAGGAATGATCCAGAAATCTTGTTCGTGTGTGGTGAGGAGGGTGGCCAATTATCCAGATGTTGTGGCTGGACTGATGTGGGAGGGTTTGCTCTACAGGAAATGAGCTTGATGAATGTTCCTTTTCTTCAACATGTGGCACACTCAGCGCATATTTGACTTAGGATTTTATTTTTACATCAAAGCCAAAAAGAGATATGAGTCTAATTTTTTCCTTTGAATTATCATTTACTTGGACGCTTTCTGAATAAACAAAACATGAACAAAAATATCAGGCACTAGGAAACTCCTGGGAAAGAAATATCTCTAAGTACTTTATGGTTGTCATAAGGGCTTTGAATCTCTTAGAAAGCCTAAAATTTTCTGGATGCTGATGTGTCTTTAAAACATCTCAAAATCTGAATTAGAAATGGCAGGTAAATAAAAAGCTGCTCAATAAATAATGCTGGCGGTATGAGCGGATACATTGATGGGTTGAGGGGATGCATAAATACATGGGAGTAGGTAAGGATGGT